TGGAGGGGCGAGTGGAGGAGGTCCGGTGGGTCGAAGATGTTAGAGGTGTGAGTGGAAGGTAAGAGAGGATGTTAAAATGTTGTAATAACGATAGAATGTGAAATACAGCGAAAGAGAGGGGTGGCGGGAGTCAGTGGTGGGGGGAGAGGGAGGGGCGAGTGGAGAAGGTTCGTTAGACCAAAGATGGTGGAGGTGCGAGTGAAAGGTGAGAGAGGATGTTGAAAAGTTTAAAAATGCGGATAGAGAAGAAGAAGGAGAAGAAGAAGGAGATGGAGAAGGAGAAGGAGAAGGAGACGTTTCTTAATTTTTCATTAAAATCACCACTTTTCGACCGCTTATATCTCCATAACGGCTTGACCGATTAAAAATTTTTTTGGCTCAAATTACTCGTGGCGATGCCGCCTTTCAAGACATATAACGTTCGATTCAAAATTTTTTATATTTTAGTAATTATGCACCTCCCAAAAATGGACTTTGGTGGCTCGGGATAAGAGACTTGTAGCGTCTCGCAGTTTTTGAACATGGCCGGAGACGCTACCGCATCTCTTGATTTACAGTTAATAAAAAAATCCTGATGGAAAGTTTTTATTTTACAAAAATTACATAAATTAAAATAAGATCTTAGAAATTCTTAGTTTTTCGTATTTTCTCGCTACGAATATCTACCAAAAAAACCTAGGAATTTCAAATACAAACAAACCTTAGGGTGCCGTCCCATTAAACACGGATCGGAATGACGGATCGGATTTCTCACTAGTTTACCAACGATCAACGCGACATTCTGTTCCGCTTTTGCTGAATGAGACAGGTAGAGAAAACGCGAAATGGTCTGTGTTTAATGGGACGGCACCTGTAGAGTTTTGGTTTTGGCGCCACGCAAAATATTAATCTAGATGGCACACTAAAGGCGAAGGAAGCGCTGCTGCTACTCTGGCGTCACCTGTTTTTCTTTTTTTTTAGTTTTAGTCTTGTAACGACAAGTTCAAATCTGTAAAAACGCATGTAAAGAGCTGCGTGCAAGCAGCGTTCATTTTGTAATAAAACCAAGTCATCTTCGTCACAAGGAAGAGACGCCGCGAGACGATTATTTTCCTTCTTTCCTCGCGCAAGAATAAACATGGTCCTTCGAGCCGGATCGGGAATCCGTTGAGGTTAAGCGAGATACATTGAGCAAAGGGCTCTCGTGATTTACACTCGCCGCAATTTCAAGAACATTAAGGCATAACGATAACAGAATTTTCAAAGGTTTTCAAAAGGCAAGTACGTCGGATCCGGCATTGTAAGAGCTGGATCACCAGACAACGAAGCATATTCAAAGAAACGGTGGAGATACCGACATTTGAGTTCACGCATCGCTCATTTCGGTTCGGTAAATCGGTCGACGATTTGGTAAGTCTCCATAACAGCACAAATATCCATTGTTTTCATATTTCCCTCTGCATTTAATCATATCGGTCTAACATGGAAGATAAGCTCAAAAAATTAAGATTGCGTAGGGGACAATTAAAGGCATTTTGTACAAGGGCGCACAACACACTTGCGTCGGACACTGTTAGCAACATGACAGTGGCACAATTGACAGAGCGTAAAGTTAGGGTCGAAGCTACATGGGCTCATTTCGATGAAGTGCAGTCTGAGATAGAGCAATTACAAGAGGGACCCGATTTTGCTGAGAATCACGAGCATGAGAGAGTGGAATATGAGGAAACGTATTACGACGTCATTTCAAAGTTTCAAGAATTGATTGTCTCTCGTGAAGTAGTGAATTTTCCGGTGGTAGAAGCGCATACCGCAAATGTCGCGCGTAATCAGGCACCAGTTAACGATTTAAAGCTTCCAAGAATTAACTTACCGTCTTTTTCAGGTGCATACGAGGAGTGGTATCCATTCCACGATACCTTTCAGTCTCTCATTCATAACAGTCTCTCAATTACTGGGATCCAAAAGTTCCACTATCTAAGATCATCTCTAAAGGGAGAAGCGGCTGAAGTAATTTGTTCGCTTGAGATTTCGTCTGATAATTATGAGCAGGCATGGCAAATGCTAAAGGCGCGTTATGACAATAAGCGTCTGATCATTCAGAAACACATCAAGTCATTGTTTGAATTGCAACCGGTATCTAAGGAAAATTATTCAAGCCTTCGTCATTTGGTCGACGGACTTTTAAAGCATATGCGAGCTTTGAAGGCGATTGGCCGTCCTACAGAAACATGGGACGATCTCATTATACATATGATAACTGGCAAATTGGATCATACTACAAATAAGGAATGGGAAAATAGTATCTCTGGAGAGGATATTCCCACTGTACAGAGCTTTACCGAGTTTTTGGAACATCGATGTCATGTATTAGAGGCTATCAGTAGAAATAAGGCACAAGTTGCTCCACAATCGCAAATTAAGCACGGTCAGACAAAGACTTCAACACTCCACAGTTCAAAGACAGCATCCTGCTTGAAATGCAAGGAGGCTCATCAAATTTATGCATGTTCACAGTTTTTGAAGCTTTCACCAGAAGAGCGTTTCAAATTTGTCAAAGAAAATAGGTTATGTTGGAACTGCTTGGGAACCTCAGCGCACACGGCAAAATTGTGCAGATCGGGCGGTTGCAAAACATGTGGAAAACGACATAACACGCTACTCCACCTTACCAATGAGAAAGCAGAAGGCGCGAGTACAGCAATTCCATTAAAGCCGATTGAGCAGCAACCAAGCTCATTCACAGCGAACGTCGCGCATACAACTATGCCGAGTATAGCTCCGCAAGTTCTCTTATCTACAGCGATCGTAAATGCACACGATGCACAAGGAAAAGGACAAAGGTGTCGCATTTTATTAGATTCAGGCTCACAATCAAATTTTATCACTGAGGACTTGGCGCGTCGTTTAGGCCTCGAGGTGAGGCCAGCAAATGTTTCAATTTCAGGAATTAATCAGACGTGCAGTCAGATCAAGAAAATGGCGCAAGTAAAAATAAGTTCCAGACATTATGCATATCACATTGTTGTTGATTGCTTGATTTTGAAGTTGATTACAGAACGTTTGCCCAACTTTACAGTTAACAAGGACAAATTCAAGTTGCCTTCTAATTTGCCTATAGCGGATCCGGAATTCAATCGCTCAACGGACGTAGACATGCTACTAGGCGCAGAAATATTCTGGAATATTTTATGTATCGGACAGATAAAGGAGTCACCGGATCATCCGTTGCTACAAAAAACTCTCTTTGGATGGGTGTTAGGTGGAAAATTTCCAAGTGTTGCTTCATCGCAGGGAAAAACACAGTGTCATTTATCTATGAGTCATGCCGATTTGCAGCAAGCAGTTGAAAGATTTTGGCATACAGAACAGATCTCAAACAAACCGATGCTCACTGCTGAAGAAAGAGAATGTGAGGCTCATTATGAGAAAACCTATCGACGGAACGAGCAGGGTCGTTTCATAGTTAAATTACCGATTAAGGCAGGTAAGTTGCAAACATTAGGAGCTTCTTACGACATTGCATTAAAGCGTTTTCTGGCTTTGGAACGCAAGTTAAATCGTCATCCTGACATGAAGGAGAATTACGCACACTTTATGCAAGAATATATTGAACTACAACATATGAGGCCCATCACAATGCGCCATCAGGAAACGTCTCCATCATACTACATGCCACACCATGCTGTCTTCAAGGATAACAGTGCTACTACAAAGATTCGGGTCGTTTTTGATGCGTCCTGCAAGACTGACAGTGGAATATCACTCAATGATATTTTGATGGTTGGTCCAACTTTGCAACAGGATCTTTTTTCCATTCTGCTTAATTTTCGTATGTGGCAGTATGTGCTCACTGGAGATATTGCTAAAATGTATCGCCAGGTATTAATTGATGAATCTCAACAAAGTCTGCAGAGAATTCTATGGCGTGATAATAGTGAAAAAGAAATACAAATCTTTGAATTAGCCACCGTTACGTACGGTACGGCATCCGCCGCTTTTCTAGCGATACGCTCATTGCAAGAGATAGCTAATCTGGAACAGACTAATGTACCACTAGGAGCTGCAAGAATCTTATCCGATTTTTATGTGGACGACCTTTTGACAGGCGCCAATACTATTCAAGAGCTTATCATAATACGAAACGAAGTAAGTAACATACTCAACAAGGCAGGTTTTTCTCTACGCAAGTGGGCTTCTAATTCGCAAGCAGTTTTAGATGGCATGGCCGAGACAGCCTCTGACTTTATTCTAAACATTTATGAAGACGTGAACCTGCCCACGCTTGGTACACAATGGAACTCGAATGATGATATATTTCAATTTAACATTTTAGCGAGCAATCATCACAAGATTACGAAAAGAAAAATATTGTCCACCACGGCTCGTATCTACGATCCTTTGGGAATTGTGGGACCGGTCGTCATTACGGCAAAAATTATTTTACAACGATTATGGCAACTAAAGATAGATTGGGACGAAACTGTTCCCAGTAATATCCACACACAGTGGAATCGTTATGAATCAGAATTGTCAAGGTTAAACGAGTTAAGGATACCACGAAAGGTAATTCCACGCGATGTTGAAATACGAGAGCTGTGCGGTTTCGCAGATGCTAGCGAAAAAGCATACGGCGCTTGCGTGTATGTTAGGAGCAAGCTATCAGAAGATCATTATGAGACACATCTATTATGCGCTAAATCCCGTGTGGCACCGCTGCGAAATATGTCTCTTCCGCGTTTGGAGTTATGTGCAGCATTGTTGCTAGCTCAGTTGATGCACAAGATAATGGAATGTGTTAATTGCAAGTTTACTCGTAGTTTTTATTGGTCAGATTCAACAATAGCGCTCTCATGGATAAGGTCTTCTCCCAGGAAATGGAATACTTTCGTTGCAAATCGTGTAAGCGCGATTCAGGATATTTCGAATCAAGAGGACTGGCATCACGTTGATTCATCACATAACCCTGCAGATATCATTTCAAGAGGCATATCACCTACACTATTGCTCACAACTAAGTTATGGTGGAACGGTCTAGAGTGGCTGGCAAAGGACGCAGCGAAGTGGCCTGTCAAGCCTTGGCTCGCTGAACAAAATCCACCCGAAATGAGAAGGGTAGTCACAGCTGCGATAGTCGAACAAGAACCGTTGGAAATATTCAGCAAATATTCAACATTTGACAAGTTAATTCGAATACATGGATACGTGCTACGATTTATTAACAATTGTCGTAATTCCGCGTCTAAGCTCACTGGAAATTTGACAGCAGGGGAGCACAATATGGCTGCTCAATCATTAGCTAAAGTAGTGCAAGCAGTTGCGTTTGCAAGTGAGCTCAAGCTCCTACGTAATCATAAGCCATTATCGAGAAATAGCAGTTTATTGTCTCTCACGCCGATACTGGACGATCAAGGAATTTTACGAGTCGGTGGCAGGCTCCAAAGAGCCAAGCTTCCATTTTCAGCAAGGCATCCTATATTATTGCCATCCAAACACATTTTCACAAGATTACTGATAGAACATGAACACTCTCGACTACTACATGCCGGGCCACAAATGACCTTGGCTTCTATACGACAACGGTTTTGGCCATTAAACGGTCGAAACATGGTTCGCTTCATTTTGAAAAAATGCATTAAGTGTTTTCGCACCACGCCTTCAACTATTCAACCCATCATGGGCCAATTGCCCACGCAGCGAGTGCAAGCTTCTCGAGCTTTTGTTAGTGTGGGAGTGGATTATTGCGGACCATTTCAAATTCGTGAGTCCAAACGACGAAATGCAAAAACTATGAAATCATATGTAGCTATATTTGTATGCATGGCAACCAAGGCAGTTCATATAGAGATAGTCTTCGATCTTTCGACACAAGGCTTCATACACGCTCTTAAACGATTTATTGGTCGCAGGGGTAAGCCGAGCCATATTTTCTCAGACAATGCAACTAATTTCGTAGGAGCAAATCGCGAACTAAAAGAATTGCATAGCACATTTACAAGAGATAAGGACATAATGGCCCACGAAGCCGCTGTGCAAGGTTTTCAGTGGCACTTCATACCACCTCGAGCTCCTAATTTCGGAGGCCTTTGGGAGGCGGCAGTTCGATCGTTCAAGGCTCATTTTAAAAGGGTAGTAGGTACCGCTTTGCTAACGACAGATGAGATGCAGACTCTTTCCATTGAGATTGAAGCCGTACTCAACTCCCGTCCCATTACTGTCTTATCCAATGATCCCAATGATTTGGCATATTTATCCCCCGGTCATTTCCTTATTGGTGACGTGCTGACCGATTTACCAGAACCTGAAATGAGCGAGACCCGAGAAACTAGGCTTTCTAGATGGAAGCGAGTCGAACAAATGCGACAGCATTTGTGGAAAAGATGGTCAAGAGACTATCTTAATCAGCTCCAGCAGCGTACTAAATGGAAAACGGAAGACATTAACGTTGCACCCGGAAACATGGTACTTATTAAAGAGGACGATGTACCACCATTGTGTTGGCCTCTTGGTAGAGTTATGGAAATTCATCCAGGAGCCGATGGCGCAATAAGAGCAGTCACTGTTAAAACTGCCAAGGAAATTTTCAAGAGACCGTCAAATAGACTAAGTTTACTTCCCATTGAACAATAATACTTATTTTACTTCTATTTTTGTCAACTAGCAATTTACTTGTATTCAATCTAAATTTGTGAACAGAATTATTATCTAAGTTTGTTTTAGCCGCTGTTATCCAAGTACAACTACGTTATTATATTGAAAAGCTATGGCTTTCCAAGGCGGCCGGCATGTAGAGTTTTGGTTTTGGCGCCACGCGAAATATTAATCTAGATGGCACACTAAAGGCGAAGGAAGCGCTGCTGCTACTCTGGCGTCACCTGTTTTTCTTTTTTTTTAGTTTTAGTCTTGTAACGACAAGTTCAAATCTGTAAAAACGCATGTAAAGAGCTGCGTGCAAGCAGCGTTCATTTTGTAATAAAACCAAGTCATCTTCGTCAAAAGGAAGAGACGCCGCGAGACGATTATTTTCCTTCTTTCCTCGCGCAAGAATAAACAGCACCCTTACTTTTTTGTATTAAAAGATATTATTTTACCTGGTTTATTGCATGCGCAGAAAATCCTGCATTTCTTTCAGAAGTAATGGTTTCAGCCACTTTTGCCTATAAGTTTACAAATCATAAATGAATAGAATGTAGGAAGCGGAAAAGAGAGAAATTAAATTATATAATAAAATAATGTGCAACTTACGGATGACGTGATTGATGCAGGAGATACAACCATTTTAGAAGCAGTGGTCGTAACCATTTTCAATATATCTTTATTGATGTCATCATCAAAATCGAAATCAGAGTCTAACTATATTACAAAAAAAGAGATAGAAAAAGTGATAAAGAATTATTTATAAATAAATAAGATGAGATAACAGTTACAACGCTAAATTAGGTAGTGAAAATATATTGATATATGTACAAATAAAATAAACGTTTCGGCTTTGAATTAAGTTATCTTCAGTATAATGGAAGTACAATAATTGAGTAATACATCGCAAAATTATCTTGTGTAAATCATTGTTGAAATGCCGAAATTAGATATCAATTTTGATTACGCATGTCAATAAGTAAATCAAGTACATGTAAATGCTTTTAATTTTAATATTACGTCAAGATTAAAATCAGTTATTATACTGAGATCCTTGTGCAAACGTTAGTTAATGTTTATTTCGTATTCATAATTGTTCGTGTTTTTATTGAAAATGAATAGTTTTCAAGCTATTGTAAAAAACAAAAACCACAGAAATTATTTCTTTTCTTTGACAATATGACTGTATAGTATTTATTGATATTAACAACATTACTGAATTAATTAATACACTTTAAATAACGGATATTCATTAAAACTCCTTTTTTCAACTATTAATCAAAGAATTAGATTTTTAAGTCATAAAATTAAACATAATAATAGCATTATGACTAACACATTGACAACAACAAATAAATATTTCATGGTACCCTATTTTAAAAACATTTCTGAGAAATTAAAAAAAATATTTAACAAAGACAATATTAGCATCGCGTATAAACCCATGATTTTAGATTCAGAAATATCTTATTACAAAAGATTAATATCAGAAATAATTTATATAAAAAGACAAACAAATAGTATAAACAAAATGGCAGAAACAATCTCCCAACAGCTTGGAAACTATATTCATTTTCAGTAAGAAAACGAACAATTATAAATACGAAATAAAAATTAACTAACGTTTGCAAAAGTATCTCAATATACAATAATGGAATTTTAATCTTGACGTAATATTAATTTAATAGTATTTACATGTACTTGCTTTACATATCGATATGCGTAATCAAAATTGATAGTACATGTACTTGTTTTACATTGTTGTACCTCTCGGTGCAACAAGATATTATTTTGGGATTCGATCCGCTCAAAGGGTTGGAACCCACGAGGAAAACGAGGAAAGTGGTCAAGGTCGTAGAACAAACACTCACTGCACCACACTTTTATTAAAATAACCCCTTTTATTTATTATAACACTTACAATTTCGAGTGGTTATTACCACTGATTACATTTAACCCTTTATTTAATTATTATAATTACCCGATTGAATGATTACACTTTGGTGGTTAATTGCTTATGTTACAATCCGAATAGTTGGTTACAATTGTCGAATTGATTTAATTAAAGAATATATTCGGGTTAAAGTCCTCGCTCGTGACTTAGACCGGTCGGCGACACTCGTTATCGCGGATGTAATATGACTCGGTTCTCGCGACGCGCGTAACGTATC